GAAAGAGAAAGAGAAAGAGAGAGAAAGAGAAAGAGAAAGAGAAAGAGAAAGAGAAAGAGAAAGAGAGAGAAAGAGAAAGAGAAAGAGAAAGAGAGAGAAAGAGAAAGAGAAAGAGAAAGGGAAGAATAAAGAGAAAGAGAAAGAGTCACTTAGCTCAAACTGAAAACTGAGAAATCTCCAACTTCAAGAAGCTGAGGGCGACTCCTCGAAAATCACGCCGCCCACATTGATATCCACCTGGCAAAACCGCGCATCGACCCTTACGAAGTTCCACCGACACGGCGTGCTTGGTATCCCCGGGGCAAGCTTGTTCACGGTTGGCCCGATGGCCGCCGCAAAGGTACATTGTTCATGGGAAGTGCAACTGAGTCAGAATCAACACCTGGTACAAACAATGGTGAACCCAGAACCATGTAAGGAGTTGAAAAGGCGGATATCCGCACCTGTTTATGGCTGGGATTATCTCTTACTACCCTCCAGTTAACCGGGTTTGGATTGTGACTTAACTGGACATGGGCAAAATGATTTGCTCTCCCAAAAGCCGAGCTCTCTGAGGTTCATGATGTTTATCTCTCCCGATCTGGCAACGACCTGGATGGTGTATGGGCGTCGAAGAAACAAATATGAAACCAACAATGTGGAAGGTCCCCAACTCGGACCACTTCCGCAAAAGCATCCCATGAATCAAACCATCCGTGAGTATAAGGGCAAAAGTAAACCATCCGCAACAGGGGCAATTCCGTAGGCCTGTAAGCAACCAACCAATAGCAAACTGTCCATGGAGCAAAACCCAGGTGTCCAAAGGGTTTCAATCCAGTTCTGCTCGCGTGCAGTGCGCGTCACCCACGGTTTTTGTTGTCCAGAGTTGTCGCTGAGGACAAGAATCCAAGGAAACCCCCCCAAAAAAAAAAACGTTTTTGTTTGGGGGGGGAGTTCCTTGGATTCTTGTCCTCAGCGACAACTCTGCCCAAAAAGGTCGAGAAGGGTAAGCCACTTTGCTCTGGTTCCCTTCGGTTTGTTGGTCGAGAAGGGTGGCTCCTGTCCCCGGTTCCCCGGGTGCCCCGAGAATTTGGCAGTGGGTCAAAAATTGGTACCCAAACTGGAAGCCTGGTAAATGGAGCCAAGGACTAAAACCTGCGGTCTTCTGGTGGCTTAATTTTGACCCATACCCATTTTTGTTCCCTTCGGCTCGGCTCACCATGGTCTCCGTGGCCACGTTGTGCTCAGAGATCCTCTGCCGCTCCTTCTCCGCAGCCTCCGGACGCCGGACGCCGGACGCCGGACGGGGCCTTCCGGAACCAAGAAAAACCCAGCGGAGCTTTTTCCCCTTTCCCATGAAGCCAACCCACAAAAAGGGGCCCAAAAAAACATGCACCCCAAATGGTTTCAACATACCAAAAGCAAAACCGCTGCGGCCTCATTATTCCAAAGATGTGAATATATATATATATATACATACATATACATATATTATATTTGATTCGTGTGCAAGGGATGCCCAAAAAGAAGCCCCCACTTGGAGGGGCCAAAACTGAAGTCCCCCGGCAAAGCTGAAGGCTAGACCTGAGTCTTTGACCGAAGATTCCCAGCGCGTCCAAGTTGGGGGGCTTATGACGCCTCGTGTAACCATGACTCAAGGCCATTCCTTGCGGGTCAGGGAGGTAAAAGCAGAAAGATTTGTCGGTGATGTTCTCCCCCCACTGATGTACTGCGCTCGGATGCTTGGATCCCATGGCGAATGGCACATATCAAAAGCCACGCCCAACGAAGCTTCACGTTGTCTCGTTTATTCTGTCAGCAGACAGCCCTAGTGGCCGGGACACGGGGCCCAAAGACCATGAACTCACAAGCCACGCAGAAATGTTGATTCAAAACTCGCGAAAGGAAGAGGCCCTTTAAGACTCAAGGATGTCTTGTCGTCCGAATTCTGACGGCGAACGGCCTCGTACTCCATGCGGAACTTCTCCCGCTCAAGCAGGAAACGCCGCCGGCCTTGTAGCACCTCCTGGGCCGTGCCCGTTGTCTCAAAGACGATCCGGGGGGGTCGTTGATTGACTCACCGGGTTTTAGTGCTTGAGAAGACATAGGTAAAGCCTCGGATTTGCTTCCCCGGAGCTCAAGGCAGCCTTGGTCCAAGAGATTGCTCAGTCTCAAATTTCTGCGTCAAAGTTAATTAGGCACACCACTCATGCTCCCTAGGACATCTCACGTCACAAGCACGCTCGCGTGCCACTTCCACTGCACATAGGAGCGCCCAGTATGACCCTTTGCGGCTAACCAACCCGTTGAAGCTTTCCGAGCGACCTCCCGGACCCGCCGATGCGCCTTCTCAATCTGCTCTCGCTCTTGCTTCAGCCGTGCTCTGGACTCCTGGCAGTTAGAAAAATGCCACAGCAGGAGGAGGGGATCACAAGTTGCTGGTGGCAACATTGCTTCTGCGCGAAAGAAGCGGATGGCAAGCCAACCCACCAACCCAACGATGTTTGGGCAGGGTGGATTGAATTTAGCATGTGTTTTCGATGTCTTGTTTTTGTTGGGCTTCTTAGGCCTCAATCAATGCCCACGGGTGGTCCCGAACAGGACAATGGTTGGATTCAAAAGTCCAAGACACACGATAAAACGTGTGGATTGGACTCGAGTTGTTCACGTTGGAACAATAGAGAAAACCGCAGACTTGACAGTCTCTCTTGTTTGCTTTTTCTTGCCAGAGCCATCCGGCCACAAGGTCAATTGACAGAAAGGGCAGGTGTTCTGTTGGTTCCTTTCACGCAAAATCCAGAAGAGGCTTCCTAAATATACGAGATGTAGTCATGTTGCCGCTTTGGGGTATGGGTCCTTCAAAATCTGGTCCCATGATCCAAAAGCTTTCGGCATCCGATTGCGCGGCATTTGCTTCAACCACCCCCTTGGTTCAATTCCTGCAAAAAGAAACCAGAAGGAGGTTGTTGCAATAGCATGGTTTAAATGGAAAATTTCAAGGGGTTGGCACCCCTTCTGTCCTCACGTGAAACCTGAAAAATCGTGTAGGGAGACATGAGCGTCTGTTTTTTGAGGGCACACCAAAAAATGGCTTCGGTTGTCCTACTGGTTTCCCTTTCAAACCACAAAGAAAAGGAGCACACCAAAAACAAAACTTTGCTTTAACCTCATTTCAAACCACAAAAAGGGGCACACAAAAAACAAAAACACAAAAGCACGACGAGCCACTCACCTTTTCTGAAGTCAACCACAGCCCTTGCTTCACCTCACGAAGTTTCGCGAGTCCCGTCGCGCGAAACGAACGGCGCCGGGCGCCTCGCGCTCTTGCCGGATCTGCCGCGCCGAGTTCTGGACCTCCATTTCCTTGGCGGGGACGATAAAAGTAAGCAGAGGGCTGCTTGAAGTGATCTCAGGTGAGCTGTTTTTTCAATATGGCCATGGGTCAAAACCCCGTACCCCCAGTGAAAATCCCAATCCCCACTAAATGGTACCATTGGTTTTGAGCCATGGCCATGATTTTGACGGTTTCTGGGGGTTATCAAAGTCAGAACATGGTTGGTTGTTTCCCTTTAACTCACCACTTGGGGGATGACTTTGATCATGGTTAAATAATGAGGCCAGCGAAGGGATCTCAGGTGAGTTGTTTCTTCAAGATCCGGAGTAGTCAAATGGTCGTAATCCCCGAACCATGCTTCATGAATTGAGTCCGGCGAAGATATCCGCACTAACCTTACTGTTTGCTGGGGACTGTCCCTTACCTTGATCTAACCGGGTATCGATTGTCAGCTGGGAAGTCCAGGGGCTTCTCAAGCTTGGGAACCGCTTCAAGGCTCTCACCGATCAAAATCTGTCGGTGAGACTAGGGACGTCCAAATCGGTGGCCATTTTTACGATCAACGAGGAGTCCTGTGTGTGACAGGTCCCCTTCCAACAACAAACATGAAAAAGAAGAAGAAAAAATTACGGCGGTTTAGACACCGTCTTTCCTGGTCAACTCTTATTTATCACTCATTTCACGCGCACGGCCAGCGTTCCACAAGTATCTCTGTGCGTGTCTGGACAAATGAAATGGGCCACGCAGCATGAACATGTCGACTAGCAATGAGCCCTTCCACTCAGCATCCGCCACCCATCGCCACCCCCAACCCCCAATCAACCCCCTCGCACACAAGGATAAAAATCATGGAAGCTCAAGGTCGCGTTCATGCCGACGTGAGAAAGAAAGGCCGCTTGCTGATTTCCTCAACCAGGATTCTGAATTGGCATGGCAAACCATGCATTGTCCGAGCACAAGGCCACTTCTCTAAAATTCACCAGGGCATGTTGAGTAAGACGCCTTGTGCAGTGTTTGCATGGAAGTGGAGAACGATAAAGTTGTTAATTGCTCAGTTCATGCTTGCATCTTGCTTGAATCTCGCCAAATTACAAAACATCCAAGCCTGCCACAAATCAAAAAGAACACATTTCTCAGTGATTCCTCAGCTTGAAATTGTCGACCACATGATCTAAGATCTAACAAAATCCTCCGAACTGAATGTCTGATCCATCCTTTCGGCGTATCGTTCTGTATGTTTTTGTGTTTTTTTGTTTTCTCTAGGGGACTGTTGATACCTGATGTCCTCTGGGCTTCTCTTTAAAAGCTGTCCAAAATCTTTGTCATAGGACATCCAATGGATATGTCTCAACACTGGGACCTGCAAAGACTGTTGGTTTCCTTGTGGTCGCCCTTTTAACGCAACCAAAAGAGGCACCAAGAAAGGAGCAATTCACGTCATGGGCATGGCAAAATCAGTTCGTTCTCCAGCTTTTTGCGGGGCACTTGACCGTACTGGACATTCTGATCGAGCTCACATCGTTTCGTGGGAAACTTGGGGTGTCCTCCCGCACCACTAGTCTGTCCTACTACAGCTAATGCGTGAGTGCATTGAGATGTCTTCTCCCATGTCCTCTCTACAAACACAAAAAACTAGCCATACCCTTCTCACTTGCTCACATGGCCATGGGTCAAAATCCCGTACCCCCAGTGAACATCCCAATCCCCACTAAAATAGACTAAAATGCGTAGTGCACCTACCCCAAAATGGTACCATTGGTTTTGACCCACAGCCACACGCTTGCCAGTCCGCTCGTGTGCTCACAACCGCTGCAGCCAAGCATCTGCGCGGCGCCGCTCATCCCGAATGCGGTCGTACCTGAGTCAGGCTAGCATCTTGGTGGGCGTCTCCTAAACACAGCCTTCCCAAATCCAAAGTCAGGTTGCAGCTACCAACCCTCAAAGTAGGTGTCTACCACGACCATGTCCTTACAAAACTTATGGTACCTTTTTGGCTTTTTTGTTCAGAACAAATTTGGATACCAGCTCCTTGGCTCCCTGCCAACCACCAGCTAGGTGTGTCATAAAATGGCCAACTCCAATTCCAAATGTTTTGATGCTTCAAAAACAGGCTGTATACAGTCCTGGACTTGAGGACGAACTAGTCCTTCGACGTTGCCAATGATCCCGGCACTTCACCAATCAAGGGCCCTGAATCAACGCTGACATCGCCAGCATCTGGCAGAAACAACGTCTTAAGCATATTCCGATTCGTGTAAGTTTCTGGCACAGCTCCAATTCGTGCAAAGTATGTAAATGTCTTTTGTGTCCTTGTTTGTGTTTGCGCTTCTTCCTTCAAGACAAGCACCCGAAAGGATGGCACCATAAAGCCACTTGCCGGCATCTCCCTCGCATGTCTGCGCAGCAAAACCCTGGCCCAAAACAAAGAGATCGGCAGCCAGAACAGCCTGATCGGCGAACCATGCATCCTTGCTCCCATCTGGGCAAAATGCTGTACGTCGTAAGGGATCTTCATCACTGCCACAGCTGAGTTCCTTCTACCCACGGATGGGTGAACTGCTCATTATCTACCCAGCTCCCATAGCTAAGGCTCCGGCTCCGCTTGCTTCTGCGCCACAAACCTCACGCATGGCCAAATTGCCGTTGACCCCTTTGGTACCATGAGAAAGCACCCCCTGCTGATGGGGCACGGTTGCTTCCCTTTGCTTCCAAACAGCAGCAAGCGAAGCAGGCACTGGGGAAGCAATACACAAGTCTCAACGCCAGGTCCTCAACTGCCCAGCAAACGAAACAATGACGAAATCCAAGAAACATTTGCGATATCTGCGTAGCGATTTCACCAATCCCTATGTGAACTCGCAGCCCTTGCAAATCTCTCAGACTGAGATTCCAGCTCCTGCCAAACGCGCGCCTTCAGCGAAAGGCTCGGACAAGAAGTCCAAAGCTATCTTTACATGTTCAATCGCTTTGCTGCATTCGTCCTTGACAGCTGGATGGTTGTTCCCTCCATTTGCACCTAAGGCATTTCCATAGCAGGCTCCATAGGGAAGGACCGCTGCGCAGCAAAATATTGGGTGTCCTTTGCACCAGCAAAGTCATAAGCCGAAACCTGCTCCACTCCGACTCCTGCAACTGCCTTCCACGTTTGTGCTCTCTGAAGGGGCCACTTAAGCTTTTTTGGCTGGCCCCAATCGTAACTCTCTCTTCTTGCTTCTCCTTTACAGTACCTTCTCCTTTACCTTCTCCTTTACCTTCTCCTTTACCTTCTCCTTTACCTTCTCCTTTACCTTCTCCTTTTCCTTCTCCTTTTCCTTCTCCTTGTCCTTCTCAATTGTCCCTTTTTGCTCTCTGACCTCTTATCTCTTGTGTTTCTCCTCTCTCTCCTTTGTTCTCTCTCCTCTCGTCTCTCCTTTACCTTGTCTTGCCTCCTCTCTCCCTTCTCCCGGCTCTTCTCTCTGTGTCTCAATATTTCCAATGTGGAATTCTTGTTTGTTGCGCCTGTTCATTGCTCTTAGAAATATGTTGGTTTGGTGGCGCCGCTGCTTTGCCAAGTTCACAATGTGTCTCCAGGATGTTGCTCTGGCAGAAAGGATTTGCATTATTTCCGATACGCGGTGTAGCGCGTCATTCTTATTTGATGTCATGTTCATGCGCACATTGAACACACACACACACACGGAATGGGCACAACAAAAAACAAAAAGAGACACGGAACACACTTTGTGCATGTGCATGTGTTTGTGTGTGTGAATGTGCATAAGAGTGTGTGTGTGTGTGCGTGTGTTTGTGCTTGTTTTTTGTGTGTTTGTGTCTGTGTGTGTGTGTTTGTGTGTGTGTGTGTGTATGTTTGTGTGTGTGTGTGTATGTTTTTGCGTTTGTGGGTTTGGGTGTGCTTGTTTGTGTTTTCTGTCTTTCTCTGTTTGTGTGTCTTTGTGCTTGTTGTTTGTGTCTGTTTCTTCGTTGTTTTGAGTTCTTGTGTTGTTGTTTTTTCGTGTTTATGGGCGTTGGTGTGTTTGCCTGCCTTCGTCTTTGTTCTAGGAGTTAATTCACCCTTCTTTTCAACCATCGTTCTTCTCAAAAACCAGATCCGTTTCCCCAGCATGTTTGGTGTTTTTGTTAGAAAGAAGCATTCCTGGAAAGAATGGAAACGGAAGGTAGCCCTAGAATGATCAGGTCCTTGGGATCCAATTCTTAAATCAGCTTTTGGAATCAAAGTGAACAAAATGCAGATGGTGAAGGGATAACTGCGGACCCCTAGAAGGTACCACCTTAGAAGGACGCCGGGACCCCCAGATTTGTCATCGTCTGCGGGACAAATCTAGGGGTACCCCTAGAAGGACCCCGCAGCTTTTAGAAAGGTGGTGTTGGTTCCTTTGAGCACATCACTTGAGTGACGCTCAAGCGTCCTCCTGGCAGGTCTTGTCTTTGTCCCCAGACTGGCAGGTTCTAAGGTGGGGTACCCCTAGATTTCGTTTTTGTCTGTCCCCCAACCCTTCCATGCCTTCTCCTCCTCAAAAGCCTCGCGCTCCCGGTGCAGCCCGCCGTAGTCCTCCTGGATCCTGCGAAAACTAAAGCACAAGCCGCCGCAAAAGCGACCAACGCCATTTGCTAAATACCATACTAAGCCACCCTCCCACCAACGAACATGGAAGTGCACAAAGCCCCTTTCCAAGAGGAAAGTAGGGTCTGTGCACGTGGGCAGGGTACGAAAAAACATCTTCTCTGAGCCCTCCCATGGCCTACTTCTTGCAGATCATGTCTGTGTTGTGTTCTCTCCCAGCTGCAAATCCAAACCACATGCTGAACTTCTAGTAAGATTCCATCGCTACGACTATCTACTCAAATTCGAGTTGTTGTAATCAAAACCTTTTGGTCGATCATGATTTGCACTTCAAGTCTACACTAAATTGATATTCTGATTAGAGCATGTCCACGTTAAATTCCACTAAAACACCAGTAGCATGAAATCATGCCTGGAACGAAATTCCTCTTTCCACTCTCTTTCGGAATTGAGATGCCCCACCTGCAGGTCGTTGCATATCGTTCCTGTCCGTTTTGTGTTCCACGTGCGTATTTAAAATAACTCCGTTCTGCTTTAAAGCAGAACTTCTAACAAAACTCCATCAATACTAATTTCTGCTCAACGCCGAATTATAGATAGTCAAAAGTCCTTTCTAAAAGGCATTCAAAACTCATCTTAAAACTCCTGCCCCTGGTAAAGTATTCTAAATAAAAATATCAACACAAAAGTTTGCGAATCGAAATTATAGTTGAATGGTTCATTAAATTATGTTCAACATCTTTCATAAATCAACATCCTGTTTGGAATAAGGAGCTTCCAACGGATAAGAGATCTTGTAAGGAACTTTAGTCCTTAAAAGGAGCACACATGCGCCGAGCCTTGCTTCAGAAGGGGAGGCGCATGGGAAGGGTGGGTCATCATCATTGTCAATCACCATCGTCGTCATCGTCATGGTCATCATTGTCGTCATCCTCCTCGTACGTTTCAAATAGGAACCCCTGTCGATGCTGGGGGTGCGTGGTCCTGATTATCATCCTTGGTATCATCATCGCGCCAAAACACTATTTGAAAAGACTTGAAGAAAGAACATGTAGATCGTGGCGGGGGGCCTGACCATATGTATGTACATGTATATATACATCTGTTTATATCTTTGTAAGGGATTGTCTTCTTTTAACAGGTGCGACCTGTCTGGTTGGGGTATTGTTCCTTGACCGCTGGATCAGGCAATGAAAGGATTGGGCCTGGGGTACAGGTTGCCAAGGGGATCGAAGAACCCAAAACAAAAGCTTCGAACGAATCGAACAAGGGAAAACAATTCCAACGGTTCCGAACATTCTTGGAACAATT